GGGAGGGGGGAGTAACTTCCGGGCCCCGCGGCCAAGATGGAGATTATTTATAATTTTTATCGCTTCGATCGCGGTGGCCTGTACTTTCATTCTCTGCGTGACCCGGAACTTCAACCCCCGATGTTATCCGGACTGATCTCCGTGCAAACGTTTCGCGCAGGCGTTTGACGAAGATCAGTTGTGTGTATCCGTTTCAAGAAAGAGAGAAAGAGAACAAATAAAATAGATTACTTCATATAGCACACAGTTGAGCAAACTGTAATGAAAGCAATGAAAGAAAATAATGCTATTTTTATATGTTGCACTTCATCATCATCTCCGCCGTAAAAAGACCCGTAGTTATATAAAAGAGAGGATCTATTTCGGTTTCCCATTTCTTTCGATCCATTGGGCCATTTCGTGTCGCCGAAGTATCAGCACGCTTCCGCGGAATAACCCGTGACAACTATCCGAACAACTACGTATCGAGCCGAACGTAGTTAAAAGAGACGATTACGTTAAAAAGTTGGCAGATTTCTTTCTCTTCGTTCTTTATTTAAAAGTTAGCAAATACAGGTTTAAGGTGGTAATGTGAATGCGATTTGACACACTTCTCAAGCGCCTTCGTTTACATGTGTACGCATGTCAAATAACTATCTCCGCGGATTATTACACGGATAGACTGTGGCGAGAGAAAAATTGCAAATGCAAGTATTTGCACACCATTACTCGTGCGATCCTGACAAGAAATGACCCAATAATATTACTGTCATGGTATTTAGCAGCTTAGAACAATCGAATCGATGAAGAAATATCTCGGAAGATGATCCAAGAGATGCTCTTGCTCACGATTAATCTAGATTACTATAGTAAGATTTACGATTATTGTATTATTACTAATATATCTACATTCCTTTTCAGAATCTACCACTATTACTTTACGAAGCTATCTGTAAATAAGTATTTTGTATTCCTGCAAAAGAATAAAATTAAGAATCATTATAACTCGTCTGATATTTTTAACGCCGATATAAGTACCGCGTAGACTAATGAAAGTGATACTTTATAAATAATCAGACTTGTAGATAATATGTGCTTTTTTATTAAAACTTAAATAAATTCAAGTTTTTTGAACAATCCAGCATCTGCTACCCAAGGCACTTTCCAGGTATTAATAGTACGGGATGTCACAAAATTACAGCTGTGAAATCTTTTGTTATTACGTTGTAAGTTCAAAGTGCATCGTGCTCATCTAATAAAACTTAAAGAACTAAATAACAATTATTTGATTCGACCAAAGTCGACCTAAATTTGTGCAAAGAATTCATTCGCGAGGTTATCGTGTCTGCAATTTTGTCATCCTGTACGTTCATTAAAAAAATAACATAATTCTGTGTAATTTACTTACAAGTCATAATTGATTTTCATGTTACTACAGGTATAAGATCATCATTTAAAGACATACGTAACAAGATATTCCATAAGTCTTTCTTGTGATTTTTTAATTGTTTATTTTTTGTAATATGTACAGAACATCTCATTGAGATAAATATTATAAGCTAATTAAGTTTTATATAATTAACCTTTGTAATGATGAATAATGTCTACTAAAACCTTTACATTAACGGCAAAAAAGAGAAGACTAGATAACCAAAGAAGAACGAACGAATTAAAACTTTGAAATTCTAGCATGTAAGCAGTATACAACCAAATAGCTTGACTTAAAATCCAAGAACACGCTAAACATACGCCCCTACGCAGGCTCATTTCGATACTTGGCAGACACAGAGGTAACAAAGACAGAAACCAGAAGAAATACTGGGAAGTTATCACCGGATTATACATCACCGCGATTATCGCCTGTACGAACATAGCGAACGGCAACTTGGACTTTTCCGAATAATAATACGACGACATCAGCAACAGTATCAATTGCGGCAGAAACGTGAGGATCTTCTGGATTACGTCCTGCGGCTGATTGGCGGATAAATAGAGCATGTAGAAATACACGGAAAAATTGTGCCTCGTGTCTTTACGCACTAAATGATACAAAAAACTCTCGTATAAGAATTTAAAGCCGTACAGGCAATAACCCGTGGCTGTTAACGTAAGGATCGAGAAGGCGCAACTCAGCACGAGCCTCCATTGGTCCCTGTTCGGCAGAAAGCGATTACCTTTACACAGAGACAGAAACATGGGCAAACTGAACATCAACGGATACAATCTGAAATGTATAGATATTCCGTGCAACAATCCGGCAGATACAATTTTGTCTCTCTGTAAAAGATCCAATGTAAGCGCGACTAAAAGAACTGCCAGCGAGTCAGCGTTGCCTCTCGTCGAGATCACCAACGTTAACGGATTATAGAGCCATAGGAGCGCACAGTGATCTCTTACGACTTTATTACATCTCTGTCGCGCGAGAATATTGTTAATTAGGACCGCAATCAGTATGTCAACCACGGAAAACAAGATCTTCCCGAAATCCTTGTGCAATATGACATTCGGTGTCAAAAGCCAAGCCAGAAGGGGCGAATAACGATAAGTATGGCGGTCGAACGGCGATCTCTGTTCCACCACGTGCCTAGCGGCGTCAGTAAATACTTTATAGTCTACGTCTGTGTACGGTACCGCCAAGTACTCGTCGTGAAAGTTGGCGTACAGTATCAAAACCAGTCGTAGAACAAACGCCGCTAAACAATGCGATGTGAATGACGACGTACTTATTTCAGGGAGTGTCGCAGTCATCGTTTTCCTGTGGCTAGGGCGAGGCGTTAAATCAAACATCTACTGATCAATCGTCAAGCTCGTTTATAATCTCGTATTGCTGCTCGCAGCGGCCTTAACAAGACATTTTTTCAACTCGTTGAACTCCGCGGCGCATGCGTTCTTCTCTAAATTGGATTTTGCTAATACGCAGGACGCGTACCTCGACGCCGATTCCTGACACTGGGTTAACAGCATCGGATATTTTCTCAGTCTCTTCTTCGCTTTTCTTACAGCCTCCATCCTCTCACGCGATCAGACCTGTCCGGACTCAAATTCGTTCGGAAAGTGGACGTCTCTTCGCGTTCTCTGGTCGCTTAGCAAAGAATATGTCGTAAATTGGTTTGCTCAGGAATAAGCCCATACCAATTGTTGTGCCTATTATAATAAAAGCTCTTGGATAACGTTGCGCAAATCCTAATTTCGGCACCGCCTTTCGCCTCTTATTTTCGAGTTGCATCACTTATCTTAAAGCTTTCCGCTGAAAGAACGTTGGAAAAGTCGAAAATTAGAATAAAGTCTACACGGTTGAAAGATTACACAGTTCTGACAAAAGACAACGCAGTTCTACGGTTTTAGATGGATCGAGTATCAGACTTACGTAGTCCACAGTATTATGTTGGTATGGTCTTGTGGTATTTATGCCGTCGCAAACTGCAGAGTTAGACGAGTGTTTTAAGCAGCACTTTCTTATTTCCTCGAGTACTTCTGAGCATCGGGATGGCTGATAGACGTTATCTAAGAGCAGAAAAGGGTTACTTCACATTTATGGTAATACAAATTTAGGCATACATTTATTATATAATTTTGGCCTGTATTCTGAATCCTCTTTTATCGATAAACGAGCCTCTAAAGGTACCTTGCAGCCAATCAGAAGATTTAAGAGCCACTTTTAGAGGCACTTTTATTGATAAAAGAGGGTTCAGAATACTTTGTGCTTTGCACTTGTCATTATCGCTGCGTGCGTGAGATATGCAACCTCATTAGTGTTCCTATTTTATTCTCTACACTTAATACATCTTGTCATTTATCTAAATTTATTGTCCTTTTCTCCCTAGATTTTGCTAACAATTCAACAAAGGTTTTTCACGCATACGCGTCTAGACGTCATGATCTGACGCTAATTTGTATTTTACTGACGATTAATGATCTCTAAACTAACTTCCTTATAAAATCATTTGCATTTCGAAAATTTGCGAAGTGTTTAAAAAGAATAAAAAAGACTCGATCGTCCGGGTAACCTTTTAAACAAAGTGCGGCACATCGTTCACACCTTGCATGAAGAGTTTTGAGGTGTGATTGAAAAGATTCGGACAGTCATTCCGATAATTTAAATTAAACGCCTTTAAGCTATATATAATTAATCGAAGTATCGGCTAAATTCACCCGAGTTTTGTGTGCATTTCAATTGGAGAGGTTAGGAAACCTAGGTTAACCTCGTATCCTAACACCTGGATTAAATCAGATTATACAAACCCTTTAAACACTTTTGCAATTTACATGCAATTTGTTTGCAGGGGTCGACTGTCGTCATGTAGAATAATTCATTAGAAGCTTCTTTAATTTTTATAATACGCCACACGAGCAACCTTATGTAACTGTGGCTGTCGACGGGTCGATCAGTAACATGGCCACACTGCCACAGTATATAAAAGTACCAGACCAGTATGCCCACTCGCTCTTTTGTTTCACGTTCGAACCGATCCGTACTGCGCATCCGACATGTTCTAGTTATGACCAATCACAGGACTTTTGTACGTGGTTAGTGCAAAGTCGGTGTGACATTGAAAAATTTGCAGTTTTGACGAATAACGCGTTAATACTTTTATACGTTGGAGCAAGTAATTACATTAATTACTTTTATTAGAACATTTTTTTCATAGGCCATTTCCATTTACAATAAATAATGTACGCTAGTTCGTACGCGCCTTTCCTGGATACGATCCTGAAAAGGGCCCAGGCACTTTTAGCCGTTAATTGATACACTGTTGGGGCGATTAAAAACATGGCGGAAAATTGAGAGAACGCCATAGACTTCTATAGACGGAGCATTAGCTACAACTCTGGACAAGAGGGGTTCTACAAAACCACTTTTTCGTGGCGAGAGTTCTAGAAATAAAAGAATGGAAAATATCAACAACGATGAACTCTCTTTGATATCTTTTTATTCGTTTTCGTGAAATATCAAATATGTATATCGATTATTTATTGAAATATTTTTCTTTCTTTTTCAAGTGCTGTTTTCAGTATAAATTTATTTTTAATTCAATTTCCTTTTTAGATGCTTCCGGGATTCCAAGGTATGTATTTCTTTTTTTTTTTGAGGTTATCAAAGACTTCAGAAAAGGTATGTATCGAGCAAAATTTTTAGTATGTATTCTTTCAATTTAAATAAAAAATATATATTGTAATTATTTTCTCAATTTATTTTATTTTATTTTTAATCTTCTCATTATTGTTGTTAATAAGCATAAAATTTTTAACTCACCCGTAATTTCTTCTTAATTGTTGTACAACCGGTTTCGAACGTTCTTCATGAGGTGGCAAACATCGGAAAAGACGAATATTTTCCGTTTATCGTTCAAGGGGTGAGTGAACCACGTTTTGGTGTTTTCTTTTTGTGACTTTGATATGTTGTCTAACTCAGCTAATTTTTTATCCACAGCCGTATCTTGCATGCTTGCCATTTGTACTTCTTGTGCTTTGATAGACGTAATGAGATGTTTAACTTGATTCTTAGCTCGAAGTTTCGCACTCCTTTCCCGTCTAATTTTCATCCGCATCGCTAATAATTTACATCGATCAACGGGATTGGAAATGTTACCAATTCGATTCATCGTCAGCCGATTCTTCAATCGTACCTTCCGTTGCAGTAGGCATTTCCTCGACTTCATGCAGGAATTGCATGTTTTCTTCTTCGAGAGCAGACTACAATCTTTACTTCTCCATTTGTTGACGTTATCTTGATATGCATAAGCTGGTATATCATGGATATTAATGTCACCTAGGCCTTTGCAGATGTTCATTCCTTGGAATGTTCTTAGTATGGTCTTAAGCATTTCTTTCTTTTTTAAAACACGTTCGAGATTCTTGTCTTCCGTATCAATATAACGACCATAAACAAAATATTTCAAAATTCTATCCTCGTCAAGTATAACACTTTTTTGTGATACTGGACAATTTATGCCATTGTCGACCTTCATGATCGTGTATATAAACAGCGTATGTTGCACACTTTCAGTACATTTCATCTTGACCCAACTCCATCCCTTCGGAATATCGGCAGAGAAATCATCACTGGTGCTCGCATTTTCTTCCGATATTACTGGAACAATAAAGTTAAGTAATTTTTAAAAGTTGAGTAATTGTTAGTTTTTATAGTAATAAAAATTCATAAACTGTTATAACCATTATATTGCATCACTTTAATTTCAAATTACTTCGTTTCATAGCATATGAAGTATTTTTTCCCGATTTCTATTACAAATAACTTTCATATAATTTTTCTTGTTAATATTATATAGTTTATAATATTCTTGTTTTTTGCTTTATAATATTAATATTATAATATATATTCTTTTTTCAGATTGTACCACCAAGAAAATTCGCGTAAGTTAACGGTAACTATATAAATGTGGAATAGAATAGTTTCATTTAATTTATTTGAATATCAATTATTCAATTTGCCATATTATTTTTCAGGTTTTGCGTTACTCACGTTCTGTCATTTCCAGAGATGAGGACACTTTGGCAGATTTCTGAAGAGCAAATGAATCTGCTACTGAAGGAATATGAGGAGCGACATCTGTAATATGAATGAAAAAAATTAATATAAGTTTTAATTACTTACATTTCATCTTTTTTTATATCAACAATGTAATAAATACTTTTTGTTTAACGAAACTCACCGACGGAAGTACTGATTCCTTGAGCTGGTAGTTTTGTGAGACTAGAAGACTGGAAAATGCTTGGTGAATTTATTTGAGAGTCTGAATCTGAAACTCGCTTCATATATTCATGCTGTGGATCACAATTTTTCTTTCCTGTCGGAAGGTTACCAAATATTGTGGGTACAGCAAATTGCTTGAGTTGCGCCCTTTTATATGCAACCTTCAATAGAGAAATACATGATTTCAGTAGGAATCTTTCCAAACCACATGTAAAATTTTTCCATTAAACCCACCCGTGTAATTACTTGACCATTTGCGTCAAGCTTGACCCATTCGCGGACAATGTCTTCCTTCTTGAAATGTTTTTCACATACTCTATCCGTCTGGTCTAACTTTATAATACCAGGAATAACTTGTTCCCACTTCTTCAACGTAACAATGTCTTTCGGCACTCGAAATATTGAACATTTCGATACCGTTTTACAATTCGGTACCACACACCACTTCGGCATTTTTCACTTACTTCGATCTCTCGCGTCGCGCTTACACGGTAAACAAGACCAAACAAAAGACTTCCCCTCGGCATCCAGCGTCCCTCGCCACCAAAAGAACCTAAAGTCACTAGGGGCTTTAAAGCCTCCGCTACAATGGCCGCGTTCAGCAGACACAACTGTTGAGTGAGCGCTCAGTATGATTGGCTAATACTTTTAGATCCAGCCAATTATGTTAAGAAATCATTGAGCGCTCACTCAACAGTTGTGTCTGCTGAACGCGGCCAATGGCTGCGTTCGGCAGGAAAAGCTGCTTTGCAACTGTTGTAAAATTCGTGAATCTGATTGGTGTGTTCTCTCAATCTTGTGTGAATTTAAGAGCATACGCCAATCAGATTCAT